TCTTCTAAAAAGATGCAACTGCTCTCTAAAGCACACACCAAGAGATGGCAACAAATGTGCTGATCAACTAGCCAGCATTAGTGTTGCACAAGATGAACATGTACTGTTGGAAGATCCACCAAATGAAATGCAAGAGCTGCTTATTGCAAACCTAACTGGCACTGATGAGTTGAGGGATTAGCCCTCTTGCTGTTATGTTCTATTTTCCTTCTGAACTGTTACTGTTATGTATTTTCCTTGAATCAAAAAAAAGATATCATTGGACAAATAATAACCAATGCCTTTATGTATTGTTTAATGTTAAGATTAATATAAAAAAATATTTTAGAAATGATGAATAAAATATAAAATATTTTAAAGTTTGTGAAAAGTGTCTTCACTTTTACACTTCTCTTCTTTTTTTTCTTTTTCTTTTTTTTCTTTTTTTTTTCCGTGTCTTTGGACACTTGTTAGATTGTGTTTTGATCAAAAATTTAGTTAGAAATTTTTAAAGAAAAAAGAAAAAAAAATGAAAGTAAGCTTATAATTCATTCACTTTATTCTCACAATTTTTCTTTTATTTTTTAATTTTCTACCTAAATCTATCATTCAAACGCAATATAAAACTCTTTTAAACCCCATGCAATTAAGGGCCCAACTCACAACACTTTATGGAAGGATCACATTCCAAAATTTAATTCCCTCATTAATGGCCCTTCATAATCTGATCTGATGTTAAAAACTCATTAGTAAAAGGGTTTTCTCCTCTCTAATTAAGATAATCATTTTGAAAGAACATTTGGATCTGGTAGACTCATTTTAAGACAAATTTCAATAATTCAAACCATTTATTTTTAATGACTCATTAAGTAAAATATTCAATCAAAAAATTAAAACAATCGCACATTGATAGCTAAAAGTTTGAATAAGATTTGTATTACAAAAAATAGATGACTATTCTTAAAATTATATTTGTCTTTCATTTTTTTTAAAAACAAATATGATTCAAACACATTGCGATTGATATCTAATAATATTATTTTTTTGCATGAATATTCTACTCAATGAATCATAAAAAGTGAACGGTTCCGATAATCAAAATGAGTCTCAAAATGGGCCTATCAAGTCCAAACGGTCATTCAAGATAAGATGACAATGTGAGAGAAACAAAACTCATTACTATTTTAAAAATTTTGCAACAAATAATACATATGGTTTTACTTATTAAAAAAATGTAATTTAATTGATTTATAAGAAATCATATTTTAAGAAAAAAACTACTAAAAGTGGCAAAATTTTACTTAAAAAAATATATTAATTAATATCGGTTAGTTAAAATGTCTAGTATTGTTTTTTTTTTTTCATTTATTCCAATGCACGAAATATATGATTAGACATTTTACCTTAACTCAGATTCACTAACTAGATGTAGTTAGTCTTGAAAAGTTAAATAAAATTTGTTTGACCCTAATGATTTTTTCTTTTTATTTTTGTTGTTGATGTGGCATTTGAGTGTCATATTTGGATGACGCTAAAATAAAAAGTATGGTTAAAGTGAAAATATGAAAAAATGAATAGGTAAAATAAAAAATATATATATTATAATAATTTTTAAATAGGTAAAAATGTATAATAACATTGAGGATACTCTTTTGTGGGTGTTTATAGTTTTTTAATTAAACCACTTGCAAAAATTTATGAACTTAGTTGCCGTTTGGCAACTAAATAGTTGGAATTAAAAAAAGATAAAATATATTAAATAAGTTAATAAGATAAAATGTTACATTTAAATTATAATCATTTTAATTTTTTTTTTCTCATAATCATCGCATCCAAATAAAAAAAAAAGTTAAAAGTTCTTCCAAACGGGGCTAATTTAGCTAGGCAAAATTAGTCGAAAAGTCAAACTAAATCAATTCTTTCCTAACATAGCCTTAAAGTATATTAGTAATATTTAATTGGACAAATTTCACCAACGATCCTGTAGTTTGGGGCTTGTATTACTTTGATCACTGACCTTTCAATTATGATTCATTTGGCCTTAAATTTTGAATTTCGTTTCAAATAAAAACAATTGAAAACACCATTTCCTTTGTAAATGAAAAATGTTTCATTTCAAAGATAAAGCCCTCAATTTAATAAAATATAAACTAGTTTGACAAAAATAATTGTCAAAAAGTCATTTTTGAATTTTTAAAAATTATTTTCACCCACCAAAGATAAAATAATATAAAAATATTAAATCTTTTGTATTTTTTTTATTTATTTTGTTACCAAATTAAGTTTTAATATGTGTTTGGATGATGAGGGTGGTTGTTTTTGTTGATTTTTTTTATGGTTATCATATAATAGATAGTTGTTTTTATTGTTAATAGATATTTTTTTATGTTTATCATGTAGTGAATGGTTATTAGACTTTTAATGTATAATCGATATATTTAATATATAAAACATTTGTTGTTTTTAATTTTTTGATTTAATGGATTGGTTTAATGATGATATCAAAGTTGTCATCATTTTGACTTTTAAAAAAATAGAAACTAATTTAACAAAAATAAATATTTAAAAAATAATTTTAAACAATTATTTCTCTTCCCCCCCCCAAAAAAAAAGATAAAATTATATAAAAATTATGTGTTTTTAATTTTTTTTCACCAATTTAATTTGTAGTTTCTTAATTTTTTTTAAAAAAAAAAATAGATTCTGAAAACTAAACCAAACATAATTTTATAATTAAGAAAGTCCCAACATTATTCATTAAAAAAATGTCATTACTTTTCAAATAACATGTAAGTTAACTAATACAAAATAAGTTATATGACAACTTTACCTTTAAAATAGACTGTTTGCAAAAGAGATATCTTTGATTGTCCTTATTTAGATTAAAATTCAAAATTTATGATCAAATGTATCACAATCCTAAAAATCAAATATATATATATATATAAGTAGTGTTTTTCTTTTGCTTATGTGGATACATTCTAAAGGCTCACTTTTTTCTAAAAAAACCATATCAGCATACATTATCCATTTATATATAAAATTTTACACATATTCAATTTTAAGTATAATAACTAATTTTACATGGACTCTATTTGAAAAATACTTATTTTTCATATATTTTTTTATCGTGTATTTAGTTTTATCATTGTCAGATTTCTTTTATATAGTTGATATTTTAATTTAATTATTGTAATATTTGAAATTTTTTTTAATCTCAATACACAAATAAATAAGTAAGACAAAATGCATTTAATTATCTACATCGTACAAATCAAATTAATTTTCTTTTATATTTTTTTATTTTTTGTCTATCTTGTTGATGTCTTAATATTAATTTATATTTAATTTTTTATTAAACATGAAATTATTTATTACAAAACATTTATATTTAATTTAAATTTTATGTAAGTGTATACAATATGTACAAATAATTCAAAAAAAAAAACCATTAAAGAAAAAAACCAATACTCTACATATTTAATTTATGTATTTTCTTCTTAATCTAATCACAACATGTTTATATTTTTTAAATAAATTTTGCATAGTTCTATTTCTACATATTTTTATTTTCTAAATAAATATAAAAATAAAAATAAAAATGAATAATTAGAATCACTTTTAGTTTTATATGACTAATTTTTTTTCTAATTTACCTATTATTTTTAATATCAAAATGTGTTTATTTTACAATCTTATAATTTAATATATATCATATTAAATTATTTTATAATAATTACACTTTTATAGCATAATAAAACTAAAAATATCCAAATAAATAAATAATTTAACTAAATTTACTATATATAAGTATTCAACTAACATTTTTATAGAACGATAAGGTTTAAATTATTAAAATAAATAATTTAAATTTAAATCTTATTTTAAATTAAAATTAAAATTATTCTTTTGTAACACATATTATATTATAAAATAGAGTTAATTACCTAAAAGTCCTATCTATATATTTGGTAGTAGCTTAGGTCCTATCAAAAAGTTTTTGAACCAATAAGTCCCATTTACAGGTAAAAAGACGTTTTGCCCTTCAGCAATTTGGAAAATGAGATCCTTAATGTTTCTACGGAGAGAGAGACGATGAAGCATGAAGTGATTAGGGCCCAAGCCATGATTAACATTCTTCAATCGCGTATTGATCTTCTGAATAAGGAAAACGAGGACTTGAGAACCTCTCATTTGTCTTCTCTCTATTTTTCTTTTTTCTTTTTTTTTTTTTCAATGGCTTCCGAAAAACAAAGCAGCCCCCAGGCTGAGAATGTTTGTAGGTAAGAACTGAGGCACTCTCAGTTCCAAAACTGAGAATGTTCTTAATTTAAAATTGAGAATGATTTCAGTTTACAAAAATATCGAATAAAATTAAGAAAATTTTCAATTTTTCTGTGTTAAAACTGAGAATATTATCATTTTTTCAATTTTAAACTGATAATATTCTCAATTTTAAAAGGCAGAAGCAGCACATAGAAATGAAATGAAGGAGATGGATTCTTGGAAACAAAACAGAATGAAACTGGATAAACTAAACTGGAATGCACATTTAATACAAAACAAAATATTTAATTTAACAAAATATTTAATTTAAAAACATTAACTTACAATAGCAGAAAACTGGAAGGTTACAGCACAAAATGTTGGGTTTTCACTCAGAGCTCTTGGATTCAGAATATGTGTTTCTAAGAATTTCCAAGTCTGCTGAATGAGTTCAACTTGATTACATTATATACAAAAACAAAGAAAAGAAAAGCAACATGTGACTGATGAAAGCAGCTGGCAGCGCATGGGGCAAAGCAAATGCTGTCGGTTGCTTTCGGCTGATTGATTGAATAGTTGAGCATCTTTAAACAAAAGTTGACTGGGTGAATAGTGACGGTGAACAGTAACTTTTACTATTCATCACTTTCGGTGGAACATGTGAATAAAAGGATCAATATAAATACAAATTGGCAGCTTTTCTCAAAAGAGTATTGATTGAAGCTAATTTGTATCTATATGGAATCCAATGTTGATTATGCAAATGGGTCTTGGGCATCTTGAAACTCAGGCCCTGAACATTGATTAGTTGATTCTTCAGAGGAGTGGGCATGTTCTGAACCTTCTTCTGAACTGTCTGAATCGGTGGATTGGGTTTTAGCTTGATTCAAAAGTTGATGGGCTAACTGGATCATATCTTCTTTGGATGACTTGGATTTACTCTTGGACTTGACTTTGGGCTGAGCAGGAGTTGAAATGGGCTTTGCCTTTACTTTGGACTTTGATTTAGGCTTTGACTGGGCTGGCTGGGTAGCAACAGCTTTTGACTTGGGCTTGGGACCACTGGATGAGGGGCTTCCAAGGTTGACTGGAGGAAGACTGGGTTGACTTCCTTGAGAAATTGCAGTAGTTGGGTTCTGCTGAGCTTTAGCAAGAGCAGGAGTTGGAGCATATTGATCAGGTGGGAATTCCTCTTGAACAATTTCAAGAATTCTGGGTACATTGAATTTAACCCACCATTTGACTGTGTGTTGTCGAATGATGATGTTATCATCAATCCCATAGTGCCATTTGAATATCCATGGAATTTTGTATATGGATATGAAAATTAGTAATAATGGACATTGTTGTTGGTGAGTAGTGAATGGGTAAACTGAGGCAAAATAATTAATTATTTTACTGAGATCAATGGGGAGGATATCTGAAATGGCGCCATAGTGAGTCCACCATCTCAGAAACCAAGTAGGAATCTCAGATTTGAACTTTTGATCAAATGATATGAACCAAGAATGACTAAAAGTTTCATTTTGGTATAAGAAAATTTTGAACCAGGCATCAACATAATCATGGTAATTATATTGAATGGAATGACCACGTAAGTCACGAAGCTGGTTAGGGTTTCCCCATTCAGCCATGGAAACAATGTTGTGAATATAAATTGAATGATATAGGATCTTGTAAGCATAGGTTCGATTCTGGATTGGTTTGATCAAAATTGAATGGTGATGGAGTAGAATGTCTTTGTAATAGGAAAGGGTTTTTTCTGGATGTGAAAGGGTGAAATGGCATCCAGAGCCAAAATGGAATTTAGCAATTTCATTGATGGTTTGATTTTTTGGGTGACTGGGTTCTTTGTAGAACAGATTAGTAACATGTGAATTGGTGTACTCAGATCGGGATGGTTTAATGGGGTTAACTGGGAATGAAGTAACTGAAACTGAATGGCTAGATGCAAAAGGATCAGAAGCTAATGTAGATGAATAATCAGGACGATGAATGTTACCAAGAGTTTGGTAACGGTTAACCATTTCAAGTGACTGAGATTGGGTGATTGACTCCAAAGGAGGAGGAACAATAAGTTGATTAGGTTTACTGGAGGATGAGGCCAAACCCTTGGAGGGAGGCCTTGGACGAGACATCTGTTGAGAAAGAAACAATGGTTAGCAGCCAAAAAGAAGATCTAAATAGTCTTGATGACGATGTAAACAGTTGTAGTTGTCAGCAAGTAAATTGCGACGGGCTTGAATTTGATGGTAATTGATATATTGGGCTCTTTTGGTGGTTGGTCTGGCTATTTTGAGACGGTGAATTCGATAGGTAAGTTGTTTAATTTGGGTTGTGAAATAGGTAATTCGGGATTTATGGTAAGAAATAAATGGTACAGTCATCCCTTACCCCCCTGTAAAAATTCCCAGGTAAGAAAATCAGGCAGGAAATTTTGACAACCAGGTATATAGGTAATATCAAAATCAAAAATGCTTAAAATAGATTGCCAACGGGCAAAAATTTGTTTACTAGCAAGATTTTGAACATCTTGTTCCAAAACATATTTAGCAGATTTGCAATCAACACGAAGCAAAAATTTTTGATTTAAAATGTCATCTTGAAATTTTTGAATACATAAGACAGTAGATAAAATTTCTTTTTTAATAGTACTATAATTTAATTTTGCTTTATTCCAGACACCAAAATGATAGCGAACAATTTGTTCAGATGATTGAGGAGTGACTTTCTGAAGAAGAATGCCACCATAACCAATATCGGAAGCATCAGTTTGAATAATTTTAAATGAATTTTCAGTAGGAATACCAAGACAAGGAAGAGACTTAACATATTGTTTGACTTGTTGAACAATAGAAGTATGAACAGAAGACCAAGGAGGAGGATTAGCCTTTAACCGATCAAATAGAGGTTGACAAGTTTTTCTAAGGTCTTTGTAAAATTCAGCAATATAGTTGAGGGAACCTAAAAATCTTTGTAATTGGGTTTTATCCAGAATTTCATTAGGGAATTTGGACGCAAACTCAATAGATCTACTAATGGGTAAAATAGTATTATGATGAATATCATAGCCTAAGAACCTAACTTTAGTTTGAAATAATTTAATTTTAGGAGCAGTTATTACAAGACCATGACTTTTAATTGTGTAAAAGAAAGCAGTTAAATGTTTTCAATGTTCATTAATTGATTTTGAAAAAATTAATATGTCATCAATGTAAACAATTGAAAAATGGCTAAATGGGTTGAATATGTCATTCATGATATGTTGAAATTCACTAGGAACATTTTTTAATCCAAATGGCATGACATTCCATTAATATTGGCCAAAGGGTGTATTAAATGCAGTTTTATATCTATCTTTGGGATGAATTTGAATTTGCCAAAAGCCACTTTTCAAATCAAATTTACTGAAAATAACAGCTTGACTAAGTCTTTTAATTAAATCTTTTTTATTGGGGATAGGATATCGAATCCATTCTAGAACAGCATTTAAGGGTTTATAATTAATAACTAAGCGAGAGACACCTCTCTCTAATTCAGCATTTTTGTTAACATAAAAAGCAGGGCAAGACCATGGTGATTTACTTGGACTAATGATACGATTATTTAATAATTCATTAATTTCTTTTTTACACATTTCAAGTAATTCATGATTCATTTGAATTGGTCTAGATTTAGTAGGAATTTGTCGTTCATCAAAATTCTTTATATAAGATAAAGTAACTACATGCTTTTTCCTCTGCCAAAATGCAGTAGGTAAGGTAGAACAAACAGGTGATTCAAGTTTTAATTTGAAATCATTGATTTGAAAAATAATAACTGGATCAGTTAATTGTTGGTCAATGCGTTTATAATTAATTTCTTCTTTAAGAAAATTTATATGCCGAGTTAAGCGACTAATTGTATGGGAAATAGAACAATCTTTTAATTGATTTAATTTTAATAGTTCAGGAGAAGATAAAAATTTAAATGTAACAGGTTGACCTAAAACATGTGTAGTTATTCCTGCACTAGATGTAGTAAAAGGATATAATAAATATATAAATGGAGAACCTAAGATAATTTTATCAGTCATATTTGTGACTAAAACAAAAGAGGTTTTAAAACATACATTATCTTGGCAAACATGAACTTTAGGTAGCTTATATTTGATATGCATTTGGCTACCGCTAGCAGAAGTTAATTTCTCTTTACATTTTTCATAATATGTAGTCGGGAGTAAACCTTCTTGTATACAATTTAAATCAGCACCAGTATCAATTAAAGCAATTAATTCTAATTCAAAATCATTGATAATTATTTTAATTTTAGAATACCATTTTTGAATGTAAAGTTTATTAATTAGACTTAACATTTTTTCTTCAGGATTGTTAGATTGGGATTGGTGTGATCGATTATCGAATAACAAATTATCAGGATCATTGTCAGATTAATGTGGAGATTCTTGATCATTATTTTGGAAATTATCTAGACTTTTATTAAGTTTTAAAGTAATAATTTCGTCTTCTAATTTTTTATCTTTATTTTGTAATTCTTTAATTGTTTGTTTAATATGATTGATTTCCTGTTGTAAATCTTGTAATGTAACTTCTGTTTGTTTATTTTTAAACCTATCTAAAGTTTTGGATAAACTAATTATGGATTTATCAAACTTAGGTTTATTTTCGGAATGCATTAATAATGATTTTAATTTATCAATATATTTTTGATTTAATTTGGGATCATCTAATTTACTAATTAATTCAATAAGAGCTGATTCTTCTTGAGTTTTTTTTATAAGAACAGTAATTTGTTTAACTGGTTTACAACAAATATCATTACAGCCTATAGTAATATTGTTATCAGAATCATCACTAGGGGATTGGTAATCAGACGAAGTATTGGGATGATCAGAAGAAGAGGTACTACTAATAGATTGATTTAATTGAAAGATTTTATACAATTGATTTTTGGAATTGTCATCAATTTGAAGTTGATTAACTCGATCTTTTAATTTTTATTTTTCTTTACATTTATTTGAATAATGACCTTTTTGACCACAGTTATAACAAGTAACATTTTTGGTAGATTTAGATTTCGGATGTGTTTTGGATTTATAGTATTTCTTTTTAGGTTTAGTATAGAATTTATCATTTGATTGTGAATGTGAATAATTCTTAGAATATTTGTATGATGATTTATGTTTATGTTTGGAATATTTATGTGATTTCCTACGAGAGGGTGCAACAGGAGGTAAGCCATATTGTTCACAAAAATTGCCTAATTCATATTTAGCTTTATGTTTATCTTTGTTAGCTTTTTGAGTAAGTTTAAGATCAATACACATTTTTAAACCTTCTTTTTGAATAGTGCTAATTATATCACCATATGTTAAATTATCATATTCTATAACCCTAGTGGGTTGACTAAGAACATCTCTAATTTTGTGAGCAAATAAGCTAGGTAATCCATTAATAAAATTTTCTTTCCAGAATGATTTAGTACAGTCTTCTCTTAACATAACACGAGAGGTAAATACATCCTTATATCATCTAAAATCACTTAAGGTTGGACAGGTAAGATTACTAAGTTGATCATGTATGCGATAATATATATTTGTAGGGGTACCAATAAAATGTCGAACTATGGTATAGATTAATTGATTGATTCCATCAGGGTGACAACATCCTATAGTTTCATCAAGGATAGGTAGACCATTTTCATCAGTTTGATTAGCATATATAATTGAGTCACGTTGTTTGTCAGTAAGGTATTTTTCCCACCAAGATTTGAGCATACCAGTAAAACCGGAAGTAATCAAAGAAACAATTTCAGGTTGAGAATATTGGGGATAATTACTGAGATAACTATTTGCAACCATAGATAAATGATTTAATTTTTGAAGGATTTGATCTTCACTAAGACCGTCAATATTCCATTCGTATAATCGTTTAGCAGATATAGAAAATTGATTATTAAGATTAGTTTCTTCAAATTGGAGATCGGGTGGAGTAGGTCAAGAATACCAGTTTTTGGTAGTTTGAGGATTAACTTTGGGATAATGAATTTTATTAAGACGAGAAGATTGAAATTGTTGGGCTAATTGATCTATGTCATCTATTTCATTATCAGTAGTTTCAGTTTCAGATTGATCCAAAACAGTGTTGGTAATATTTAAAATAGTAAGACCTTTATCTTTGGATGTAGAAGTATCATTGGGAGTTAATTTAATAAATAAATGTTCAATAGCTTTGACAGCAGACTGATCATTTGTAACTAAGCTAGTTCGTTTGGAACGATGAGTAGGGAGATTTAGTAAAGGTTGATCTAAGGATTTAGTAGATTTTGCTGATTGTTTATCTAAATTTATTTCTAGTTTATCTAATTGTTTACCAATAGTTTTTAGGTATTGATTAGTATAATTATTTTGTTCAATAACTTTTTTAATTTCAGGGTCAGTGCCAGGTAATTTAAAAGGAGAGGCTGGAACTTCAGAACCTTGGTGATCAATAATTATATTTTCTAATGGAGGATGATTAGAACTAACAGAGGTATTAGGAGAAGTTTTCCATTTATGTTTTGTGATTGTGTTGATCTTTTTGTAATATTGATCCATATAGTCAAAGAAAGATAATTCAAAACCATATTGAACTATAAAATCATACCATTTTCTAATTATTTTGGATTGTTGAGCAGAATCATATTTAGCACGATAAGCATGTCTCTTAGCTTTATTTTCTTTAGATCTAAAGTCAATAAGTAATCTATCTAAATCAGGAGTAAAATCTTTTTTGATTGTCATTAATTGAGGATTTACCGGAGGTATAAATTCTTCAAAATCAGTTTGAGTTGGAGAAATATTTGAAGCAATGTCTTCTTCTGGTAAATGTGTGGGAGTAGTATAAACAGGTTTACTAATCTGGGAAGTGGTAGAATTATCAATTCCTTTTAGTTTATTTTGAGAAGTTTGGTTGGTTTGACCAAAATGAATTTGACTATTTTTTCGAAATAAAGGAGTGTTAAATATTTCATCTTCAGTTGTAATTTCTGTAAGGACACTAGATATACTATGTCTAGAGGATTGACTTCGATTAAATTTAATTCGGACAGAACCATCATTATATTGTTGAATATCTTGAATATCTTGAATTGAAGATTG